CATATGAAGCAGCAAACATTTTTGACCATCAGAAATTTGGGTATTCATTTTAGCCATTCTCTAGCATATGTTTCTTTGGACAAATTATAAAGATGACGCTTTGATAAAAAAGATCATGCACCTGTAAAATGCATGGCTGCCAGCTAGAAAGTGACAAAAAACATTTTCTTGAATGCATGACCACACTGTGCAAAGAATTTAAAAACAGATTTTGCCACTAACAAGAAAAAAAAAGTGATCCATAAGTAACATAGCTGTTTGCTGCCCAACATAAAAAAAGAAACAAAATCCTCATTGAGTAGCAAAAAAACAAATAAAATAAAATCTGACCTTTTCAAACCTTCCAGTTATTTTCTCCTTATACTTTTGGAAAACTCTTGTTAGCTCCTCAGCATTCAATAAAGCTTCATTTCTTTGTTGTTCTGCTCTGCAATGCAACATACCAGCTTTAAAAAAAATCAGGATTTCAGTAATTAGGTAACTATTTCCTCCAGAAACAGAAAAAAAATAGAATTAACAGCTTCAGGTCATTTCCTTTTGCCACCTAATTAATTAAGCTCCTAGACAAAAATATGCCACATGGCATGAATTCATTTTACAGGTCATTTTAGTGTATTAAAATAAAATTCTAATAATACTAAGGACTAAAAAAAAAAAAAAAATACTTCTGATGCTCTTCAAAAAATATTAATTTTTCAAGTCATCCTCCTAGCCCCCCCTTTTCCTCCAGGTAAAAGTCCCTGTGAGAGACTGAGCCCTTACCCATGATAAGGAAGCAAAATTCAAAGAGCAAAAGGGAGCTCCTGTAACTGGAATTACGCTAAGTCTGATAGAAACATATCAAAGGATAAATTATTTGGGGGATATTGGAGAGACAACATCAATATGTAAAAGAAATAGATTGAGATGGTATTACACAAACAAGCATTCAAAAGAAGCAAGCAAGGACTATTTCAGATCATGCGTGTATCTTGTTCCTCCTCACCCTTCTTTCTTAGTTTCTTCCACCATTACTCATTTCAGAGGTTGGAAAGGGAGGGAGTTGGGGGAAGGGGCAGTTATGAAATGCAAGAATTACACACAGATAACATACAGATAGATAAGATTAAAGATAACAAAGACAACCTCATGTAGTGGAAGGTCTGCCTACCCATGGCAGAAGGGTTGGAACTAGATGATCTTTAAGGTTACTTCCAACCGGAACCATTCTATGATTCCACAAATCTCTTGTGGAAGTTGTGTTTTTATTACTTCCCACCAAAAATAAAGCACTCAGTACTGTTGACTAATTCTGTCCATTACAACAGAATATACCTGAAATACAGAAAGTATATACTGTAGATCCTTGCAAAACAAAGTCAAAAATAATTCAGGAAAAATACATTATGGACCAACATCTGCTCTCCACTGCAGTGCCTCTATTCTGGAGAGAAAATAGAGGCACTAAATTGGATAGGTAGCTAAGTTACATTTTAGTGTATATTATCAACCTGCAATTACTAGCAATTTTCTAGACTTTAAAAAAAAAAAAAAGCTAATACTGTCATAACAGAAAGACTTCTTCCCCCCTCCATGTATTTTTTAAAGGAATATTTATAAAGCAGAGAAGATTTAATTCCATAAAGTAAGTACATGTAAGAAACACTTGAGCATTACTATTTTATATTCACTTTATTAGGAATACTAAGAACACTTAGTCACCTTTTTCCTTGCTCGTTTCGTTCAATTAACTCAATTTTCAGATCTTCATAGTCCTTTTTGTATCTTTGCAACACGCTTTCTCTTTCCACTACTGTTTTCTGGCTTTGCTCTAGTTTATTTTCTGCATCTCTGGCAAGTAAGCAAAGTATAATTTAAAAATAGAAGGATTTCGGTTAAGAATTATTTATCTCCACTTTGTGGTGAAAAGGTGTGGATTTTTTTTCTTCACGTGTTTGAGATATGATGCAGCTCTCAAAACCAGGTTTGGAACACCAATAGTTTCAAGACTTCCAAGCAAAAACCTGGAGCGGTGTCCAAATCTCATCAGCAGACATCAGCTGCTGTGGATGCCAAGAAGCCAGACAACTGGGTTATTGCTGTAACACCTAAGCACTAAAATCATTGTTTTTCTAAAAACAGGTTTGACAGGACAACACATATATTAGTGCTGCTTGGGATATTTAAGGTATTTTATTTGTGTTGTGAGAACTGACTTTTGAGGCATTACTTAATATTATTAGCACGAAGTTCTAAGATAAACTGACAGCCAGCTGTGTCCCCCTGACACATTCTGGATACTGGTTACATTAGTTTTATTTGATCATTTGTCTTAATATATTCATAAAGAAAAAACTCTTTTACACAGACATCTATAAATGTTTGTTCATTACAGAAGTCGTACGGTCACATAGGACAAAATCAGTCTTGAGTGGATCTCATTATAAGGACATTCATGTTTAAATGTAAATTGTAAACTGGTTTATTTTACCTTTACTACGTTCTTCTGCTTCTTCATGTGCATTCTCCATGTAAAAGACATAGGTACAAAATAAACACTTCACTCTTCCTATACATGGCTCCAAAATGAAAGTTTCAAGCCCCAGATTACATGACCCACAGAGAACCAGAAATTACACAACCTTGAAAAAGAGACTCAACTCTCAAACAGACCTCATGACTGCCAAAAAGTGCGTTTATTACCTTAGAATTTTATCTTGTGCTGTAACTTCTGCTTCCAAAGTTACAATTCGCTCTTCTAACTTAGGAATGTTGACTAAATGCACACCTAAAGTTGACTCAAGATAAGAAATCTGAAAAAGAAACAGATTTATGGTTTCATTAACATTTGCATATACACATTTAGATGAGACACACACGAGCCATCTACTTACTGGGTGACAAACTGCTCTTCAATTTGCTGTAGAAGATGCTTGTGTCTATACACACAAAATGAACTCCAACTTTCTGCTAATTTAACATCAGTTCCTTAGCACCGCTCCCATCTGATATGTTGCATTATAGAATGATTGCTTTACATCTTGAGCTTGTTCATTTTTTTCCAAATGTTTACCTTCTACTTGTTCTGTCCAAGTCAGACGGGCAAATACTTCCCTAATCTACTTAACTGCACTGTGAAAATTATACTTAGTCACATGAGCGTACAGTACTAACTACATCTCTGAATTAACTAGTTTATTCTTTCACCTCTTTACTAGTAAACTAAGATTTATGATGTGAGGAGCAAGAAAAGCTTTCTTCCCCCCTTGACACATCACTTAGTATACCAAGTGGTCATTCCAACTTACCTGTCTCACTGGCTTTATAATTTAATTTTGGAACATATTAATAGATAGAATTTATACTTAATATGTATATGATTTGTTCATGAACAATTTGATTACAAACTCTTCTGTTCCAAAATATCACTGAACAGTATGAAATGATCCTAGAACTACTAAAAAACTGTAAAGAATATTTAAACTTTAAAGTTTAAATATGAAAGACTAATAGAACGAAATACATTAAAGATACATACTCTCGTTTTTGACTCCATCAATTCCAAGTTCGTTGTTTCAACTCTATTCTTTAGGTAATGGTTCTGAGAAGCCAAAGATGCATTTTGCTCATGAAGATCATTCAGTTTCTCCTTAAGACATTCATTTTCTTCCACAGCCTTATCTAAAGCTGTAGGCATTAAGTCCGGCTAGACAAAAAATGAATATGTATTTCCACATACATACACACATGGAACAACATGTACATCACAGGAATCTTTGCGGAATAAATAAAGCCTCATTAGGCTTAAGGACTATTCAGTCAACAATCAAGTGTATCATAGACCTGAGAGCAAGAAAATTCCATAAATACAGAATACAGAACGGACAGGAGTAGCAAAAACTGCCTATGAAGTGCCGTTGACAAGTATTTACTTTGAATTTTCTTTCTGGAAAATCCCAGCAATACGTTTTACCAGCAGTCTTCTTGCAGTTAGAAGAGCACCGACTGTTGCAGTTTAGCTGAACAAGGTCCTCCAGGATGAGGTCTGCAGCCTCATCAAAGCAGCGGTCAGAATGTTCCCTCGTGCTAGGAGGAGGAACAAGAAGCTGTTACCCCACTTTTCTTCGTTATTTCAGTTGCTCACGAAGAGCACCCCAGAGCACAGCACAACAGGAATCGCAGCAATCCATCACACTCAATATAACGGACTCTCAGTACAAGTGACAGCCCCTCTCACACCCAAGCACACGCACCTGGAAAGCTCTGCCCCTACGCTCTGTAGGCTTTTTTCAGTTCTCCTCAGCTGACTCCGTAACGACTCCACAGCTACGAGCAGTTCTTCATCGTCACTTCTAGAACGAGCCCACATGCTGCACTCCATTGGCACCGCATGTGGCTACAAAACATTAAAACATCATTAAGCGTACGCAAACATCAGTTACAGAGATATTTTAGAGTTTTATAGATGATGAAATAAACAAGAACAGAAGAAAATACTTTATTCCCGAACACAAAGATACGTTTAATACGCTTCTGGTACTCAGCAGGTAAATGCCGCATTTAACTCACAGCCCTACCGAAGGAAAAGCGCTCCGCGTTTGTTCACGAAGCACGAGCAGCTCCAGAACTACCGCTTCTGAGAAGAGCAGAAACGCAGCCAGGAGCTCCGGCCTACAGCGAGGGGAAAAAAGGCGGGAAGGGGCGGGCGGGCAGCCGGCTCCCGGTATCCCGAACGACGGTACCTCAGCAGACCCCGACGAGCTCTCGACGCGCACCGCTCCGAGCGACGCGGACCGTTACCGCAGTACCCGCCCCTTCCGCCAGCCCCAAGGCGCACGCGCAGCTCCGCCCCCCGCCGTCCCTGCCGGGATAGGCGAGGCGCACGCGCGGCCGCCTCCATCCCGGAGCCGCGCTGGCGGGCGGTGCTTCCCGGCGCGGTGCACGCTGGGGCGGCGCGCCGTGGGGGCGGGCCGGCCGCTCGCGAGGCGTGGGCGGGAAGCCGGAGGCGCCGCGCTGCCGGCATGGGGCCGCCGCGGCTGCTGCTGCTGCTGCTGCTGGGCTGCCTGGCGCCGCTCCTGTCGCCTCCCGGCGCCGCCGAGTTCAGCCCGTCCCTGGACAGCGACTTCACCTTCACGCTGCCGGCCGGCCGCAAGGAGTGCTTCTACCAGCCGATGCGCAAGGAGGCCTCGCTGGAGCTCGAGTACCAGGTCGGGCGGGCGGGGCCTCGCGGGGCCCTCCGAATCCGGCCGCGACCCCGCCGCAGCCTTCCGGGCAGCTCCGCCCGCCCCGAGCCCCTCCAAGTCCCTCCGGCTGCGTCCCGCGAGGGCTGCGGGCTGGCGCGGGGCTCCGGGGCTGCGCGGGGAGCGGCCCTTCAGCCGCCTCTTCGCGCCGGGATGCCGGCCTGACCCCGCTGCGGCACCGGGGGAGGGAGAGGCTTACGGCGCTCCTTCTTTCATGTCTTATACTAATAGGCTCCTTTGTGTGCGCTGTCAGGTCTGAGGTTGCCATTCTTTAAAGCAGAACGTTAGCTGCTGTGACCTTGCATAGCAGCAGCCCTACCCCTTGCCTGCCTGCGCTCCGCGCTCCTAGGAAGCCTCTTTATCTCTGCAACGAAAGTTTTCCAGATGTAGCCTTAAAAAATGGGCTTCTCGTGAGGCCTCGTGCCCTTCGTGCTGCAATACCCGCTGATCGCAGCAGCGTGCAGGCTCTTACCCTCCACCCCCCCTCTTTTTTTTTCCCCTTGCCTAAAAACATAAGGCTGAAAATCCCGGAAGTTTTCTAATTATTTTTGCTCCGTGCAGCACTGAGCAGGAATCAAAGATCGATGGGTGAACAAAGCTCCAAAGCAGCTCAAAGCAAAGCTCAAGTTTAAAATAATAAAATCCTGCTTTAAAATGTCAGTATAAAGTAATTACAGCAGTCCTTAAGTCTTATTACACAAAGGAAAAAGAAGTCTTAAACAGTAAACTTACTTTTAGCCAGGCGTAAATTTCTCTGCAATACTGTTAAAAGAGATGTTTTATTTTTCTATCTGAATGTGTAGAAAAGAAGCTCCATATATTATTGGAAATGCATGTGTGTGTGTGTTTTTTTTTTTTAATTATCCTGAATTTTTAGTAGCTAAAGCTTAATGCTACCTGCCAATAAAATGCCATAAATACAGTGCTGGTAGGAAGTGTTGTCCCAGAATGTTTGGGTCGTACCATAGCCCTGAAGGTGTATCACTGTCTGTGTTTCAACTCTGATCAGATGTTAGCTATGTATCTTTGCTGCCCTTCTCTTTTTGGTAAGCCTCCAGATCATTTTCAGCCAGTTTAAACTTTGCTCTCCACTTCAACTGGAGCAGGCTGCTGTGTTCCAACAGCTTCCTGGAAAGTAAATGGGTGAAGTCATGGCATAAGAACTGCACTTCTACAGTGATATGGATGTAGCCACATCAGTGGTTAAAGCAGCACAGCTTTGTAATACTGTATATGCTTATTATGAGCCTTCAATTCCAACTACTTCTGGGAAATGAGAATGTCCTGGGAGAATTTAGACCTTGTTATCTTCATTAGGTCAGTGGTGTATCTGTAATGGGCATAGCAAGTCCAGTCCTGACCATTAACTCACCCAACAGATCTTGGGGATGGTGCTGCATAGATTGTGTTCTTTTACAAATATATATGAGTTTACACATAACCTTTGTTATAAAATCTTTTTCCACCACTGAACTAACACTGGTATTTACTCATGACGACACAGAAACGCTGGCTTTAGCATTCTTCTGGTGTTGCAAGGTTGTCCCTTAATGAAATTGCATGCATTCTTAAAAACTTAAAATGCTTTTGGATTGAAACTGTTTTTAATCTGTATCTAATTAACTAATTTAGAATTCTTTCTATGTCAGTTCCTTCCCTAAAGGTGTTGCATTCAGCAGTGTGAACAGTTTGTTTGTTTCACAGGTTCTAGATGGAGCAGGATTAGATGTTGATTTTCATCTACTTTCTCCAAAAGGTGAAACTTTAGTTTTTGATGAAAGAAAATCAGATGGAGTTCATACGTAAGTTTAACTCCAGAGAAGTGTTATGTCAAAGCACTGCTCTGGTTTCTTTAGCAAATATGGCTAAAATCAAGGCTGAATACTACTGTTCATTTCTTACTAGTTTAACAGGCTTTTTACTAGAACAGTTTGAGAATATCAATTACCTATTTATAAACACTTAATGCTTTTTATATGGACTTTACCGTGGAATAAAGTATATTTGTGTTTTAATGATAAATGCTAACGGTCATTAAACAAAAACAATGGTGCGGTTATCACATTTAATACCAAAAGACCTTGTTATAGTCATATGAACAGTAAGCTGTAAAGCACCCCATTTTCCCAGTCCTTTTATCAAGGCACGTATTACTGGTATTTTGGTATAGACTACAAGAATTCTACTCATATTACAGATACTTCTTAATCATTAACAATTCAAAATTCAAATAAAGGAAGAGGAAAGTAAGCTGTTACCTTGATGATTTTAAGCTCTTAAGTCAGTGGGGTGGTTTTGCTGTAACTAACAGTAGAGTTGTTAAGTTCATGTAAAAAATGAATAAGCTTTTTAAGTGCACAATTTTAGTTTTGAAGAGGAAAGCTTGCTTATAAAACTTGCTCTTTTAGAACCAGCACAGAAAGCGTACCTAATTCAATTATATGCTTTTATACACAGGGTGGAGACAGAAGAGGGGGATTACATGTTCTGCTTTGACAATACGTTCAGTACCATTTCTGAAAAGGTGATTTTCTTTGAACTGATCCTGGACAATATGGGGGAAGAAGGACAAGATCAAGAGGACTGGAAGAAGTATGTTACTGGCACAGATCTTCTAGATATGAAACTAGAAGACATTCTGGTTAGTACTGGATCCTTAGTTCTTCTTAACATAGGAATAATTGGGAAAAAAATATACATGCCATTCTGCCTTGATCTGGCACATCACCCTAGAAACTATTCTGCTACAAATGAAGCCCAGCACCACAAGTCTCTTATTTCCAAACAGAAATTTGAGAATACCTTAGAAACAGATCCTTAATCAGCAAGAAAAGTCCGTGTGTCTATCAAAATAATCCCCTTTTCTATTCAGCTTCCTTTCTTAACATTGCTAAAATTGGACATTTTTCCCTAGTAGCAAAGAAATAGATATGTATTCCATTTAAGTATTACTTAATCCGAACAACACAGTTGGAATGTGCATAGATCTCTTCATCTATGTTTAAAAACAAAGTACTGGCTAAGCTTCTCATTCCTATCTTTCCAGAAATACCCGAAGCCAGCAGGAGGGTTAATTTTTCTCTTCTAGTTTGGTTTTCCAAATTTTATTTGCATTTTTTCTGATTCATAAACACATCAGGAGGTAATCTGTGCAATTCTGGTGACCTTGAGAAGAGCATTAATAGGACTGCTGAGCATAGCGGTACACGGAGAGAAGTAGGTGCTGTACATTCCTGATGTAGCAGACATTATACATAATGTCCCAAGGCACCAAGCAGCTTTAGGGAAGAGCTTATACTTCTCAGATGACCCCAAGAAAACATGAAACCTACTCTCCTAGCTGCTTTGCTTCTGATTTTTTTTTTTTCACATTGAAAGCACGCTCAAGTCAAGCTAGTTCCAGTCTGCAATCACAGCAGCCACAGTTAGGATTTTCAGTTATTATGAATGGTAATGTTTGCTTAAACTGTACACTGGTCCTGTTTGATCTAGGATGAAGACTACTGCCCAAGGTTTTTATTTCCTTCCAGCATCACTGAATGATTGCTTTTAGGTTATTCTAGAAGCAGAGAATTGTTTGGTTTCCCTGTAGAACTGTTCTTAATGTTTGTTAGGATGCAGAACTTTCTCTGCTGGTGGCAAACTTACAACAGAGATGATCTGCTTACTTATTTTTAAAAAGACAAAACAGTATCCACAAAGACTGAAGACACTTGTATAAAACATTACATGGTATTCTATTCCTCGTAATATTTTTAAACAATAATGCAAAATTTTTAAGCAATAGAACAGAATGTTAAAGATGTGAAATCTTTTACATGTATAGTATGATGTTTAAGTAGTGAGAATCTGAGAAGCCAGATGTTCTTTAAGCCACTAATCCAGACAACTGGAGAAAAAATTATATAGGCAAATGTGAAGAAAATCCCTCCTACAGTAATCACAAAAAGTACTTAAATGGACTTGCTATTCACATACATACAGGTATCTCTTCCAGAAGAAGAAATGCAGGAATTGTCCTTGAGGGCTTTGCAGATCTTACAGTTTTTGTGAAGTTAATGTTAGGTTTTGATGCTATTGTTTACTCAGACTATGACATTGTTTCCATGATGCTATTGTTTACTCAGACTATGACATTGTTTCCATGTTCTTTGGACTTAAAAGAATACTTAGTAGCTTCTGAAACAATGTATTTGCTGTGGGAAATGGGAAAAGGTTGTTTTTATAGCACTTTTCTGGCATTGATATTCACTATTGTGTAACTTACGAATTTCAGTATCATTGTAAAATAACTTGGCATCTAAAAGTAACACTTTTGAAATATTTGTTAAGCTTGCAACAAAACAAAGAAAAAAATCCATGGAGAAAGTGTTACTGACTTAAAGTATCCTGTTGTAGCAACTGTACCCATTACTCATTACTGGAGGACTCAACTCTCAAGTAACCTTTAGTATCAGGAATATAAATCAGAGTTTCATGAAATCAGCATTTAGGCTCCAGATTAAACTTCTAACATTACTGGAATAGGTGCTTACTGAGTAAACTTGGGATAGTGAGTTCCTATTACAGCCAAAGTGTTAGAGTACTTTCTCAGATTCCCTAAGCCAAACTGCGTGTTACTAACCCCACAGCAGCACCTCCAATCACCATATTTAATTAATTTGGGGGGTCCAAATTACGCTTCTGTTTCAAAGCTGAAGTAGCAGTCTATGGCTACTAATGTTAAAGCTGAAAAGAGGAGATGGGAATATAACATTATACTACCATTTTTCTTTTACAGCTCTAGTTCTGATGGTATTGTTTGCATACATATAGTTTGCATTAAAAAGCAACTTAATTTGATTATCCATCAGGAAAAAAAAAATCACTTGTTTTGAGATTACTGTCTTGGAAAAGTAAAAAGAATTTACTTCTAACTACCTGCAATTGCACTTCCCTCCGATACAATGGATTATTAAAAATAAAAAATGAAAAATTAGGTTTGATTCCCCTTCTACCTCCCCCTCCACCTTTAAGGGTGGAAGACATTGCTATATAACCTTAGTGCTATGTTAATTAAGTCTTTCTAGGTGACAGTGGGAGACCTTCCTGAGAGACATTGAAGGCCAGGCTGGACAGGGATCTGAGCACCTCAAGCTCTGGATGTCCCTGTTCCTTGCAGGGGATTTGGACTAGCTAGCCCTTAGAAATTCCTTTCAATTCTATGATAAACAGTCTAAAATGAATTAATCAAAACTCTGCAGAAGTACAGATATTAAATTAACTGACTTCTTGGCAAGAAATTAAAAGTATTAATCCAGTATTTTTCGTATGAATTGCAAGCTATCAATGTAAGGTGCTTTTTAAATTATTTTCTAAAAATATTCTTTTGTTACTTACTAGGAATCCATCAACAGTGTCAAAGCCAGATTGAGCAAAAGCGTCCAGATTCAGACCCTACTCAGAGCATTTGAAGCTCGTGACCGAAATATACAAGAAAGCAACTTTGACAGAGTGAATTTTTGGTCCATGGTCAACTTGGGAGTAATGGTGGTGGTATCAGCTGTTCAGGTTTACATGTTGAAAAGTCTCTTTGAGGATAAGAGGAAAAGTAGAACTTAACATTCAGTACAATTGTAACAGTGTAACATGGTAAGGGAAAAAGAGCAAGAAACTGATTTACGTAAGAAAAAAAGAGAAACCTCTTTGAGAGTCCTTTGAACAGGCAGTAGCCACATCAGGTTTTCAAATTATTATTATTTTTTTTTAAGATGAAGAGAATGCCTTGTCCCATGTTCTTCCTTTTTTTTTTTTTTGCAGCTGCTATTAACACTTTTTATGCGTATAGCATTTGTTAATGATTGTTACTGACAGTGCACAGGATGCTTGGTACATATGCAAAGTATTGTTAATATTGGTGGGTTTTTTTTTTTCCATGTTCACATAAAATTTTAAATGGTAACTTTAGATATGAGTTGGTTTGCTGGTTAACATCGAACAAATTTCTAGGTGCCTAAAAATTGTAGCCCATGAGAGTAGCCCGGTGACAGTCACTTATTTTCAAAGTTACATGTTTTAAAAAATCTTCAGCTTGTGGGTAAAGTGTCACATAGAAACACTGGGCTAACACTGGGAGAACAAAATGAGATTTTCTTTATTATTTTAATATATAGATGATTAACATCAGCACTTTAAAAGAAGCACTGTCAATGTGTAAGTGATCTTGAAGGGAACTGGAGAAAATAAGTGATTTCTGTTGAAAAACTCCTCTATAGTTGTACAGCCCTATTTCTTTTTTCTCTGTTACATGAGATTTGAGAGACAACTATATTGTATACAGATAAAAAGCACACACACCTGGAAGTGTGGGTTATGAACTTCTACATAATTGTAACCTCCTGTAATAGTATTTTTTCAAGTAGATATTTCAGTTGTTATTTCTTTTCCCTTTAATAAAGGGAAAGGGGTCATGGTATGTGAAAACAAACTTTTTGAAGTCTCAAAATCCCTTTTATTTGCCAATTTATTTTTTATTTGTCTACTACATGCCTATGACTAATTCAGCAGTTAATCAAGTGATTTACATAGGCTTCAAAAACCAAAGCTGTTCAATTATGCATTTTCCTTTTGCTTACCTTAACTACTCTTCTACATGCCTGGGTACACTCAATCAATTAAGCAGTGTTTGCATATCCAGCTGTTTATATAGATAAGACATTAAGTGAGCAATAAATACAGGATTCAAATTTCTAATGACTGTATAGTTTCCAGATTAAAAAAAAGCATAGTAAGATTATGGAGCATTTCTGCAAAAAACCCCTGGTGTGTGATAGTTAACTAGTTTTAAAGAGTTCAAACTTACTCATTTTTACAGTGTGCCAAATCACTGAATTCCTGTATAAACGTGTTAAAGACAGTATATGTATTAGCATTATGCCTGTTCTTGGTTCTAGGCATGAACAGCAAAATTGCAATTTTAACACTTCCTGTGAATAGAAGTGATTTAATGAAGAAAAGACAGGGTCACTAGACAAAGAAACACTTGCTTCAGATGAAGCAGTAAGGGCTACAGTACATAGCAATGCCACTTCAGCTTTAGACAGTGGGACCCAGCAATAATATCTTTAAGTAATTTTTATCACTAGAAGTATTATTCCATTCCAAACTTCTTCTAGAGAACTCCAATTGAGCTACCTTTTCCTGTGGTAAAGCTGTGTCCAAAATAAGTGTGTTTCTCTTTACATGCTGCATATCTTTCCCCATAATGCTGTGAATTAGAAAGTTTATTCCTGCAATCAAAATAAAGTCTAAGAAATGTTAATTCTTTCTGATGAAGTAGCAAATAGTATTGTACTGCTGTTTCCCCATGCATCTCCCACCACCAATACATACACATAGCTGCATTAGGACATAAGCCAAAGCTCATTGGAGTCAACTTCCGAGCTATTGATCAGGTCCCATCAGGGTAAAAGAATAAAGATTTTTAGGGGTCTGTCCCTTTTGCTAAAAGAATCTTCACTTGCATCACAGCATGATGCTACAAACCACCTACAAAATGCTGAACCAGCTCAGTGAAGTTCTAACCCAAGACATCTACCTCTTACATCAAAGCTACTGGATTCCAGCTTTCAGCTTAGATCTCCAACAGATAAGCTCTGCCACATTTTGGAGACACTTCAATGGATTACGTTCCCCAGGAACTCTGCTGTGCCTCTCTGATAGAGGTTATATATCCATTAGCAAAATAGGCCATGTGTTGGCACATCATTTCTCTTTGTTCAGTCTGGTTTATTGCCTTAATCTGCTCATGAATGAAGATCTCTCTGATAAGGCAAAATTCAACACTTTCTCTTAATATAGATAGCAGTCTCTGGTAGAAGGAAAACACAACTGTCAGCAGAGTTGATATAAAATTATTTTGTAACTAAGAAAGCTTACTGTATTTCCTCCCTCTTCAGGCCTTGCTCTAGAAAACCATACAGCAAAAAGCTATAACTGCTTTGATAGTGGCAGCTGGAATGTGTATTATAGGTGAAGGATGTGGCATTTAAACTTGTCATGAAATAACATTTCATTCAGATTTTGAGAAGTAGATTGCTTTTGACTGTATAAAATTTAGAAAGGACGTGTATCTATAATTTTTTTCTTAATGGTATTTGTATTCAAAATTAAACAAAATTTTAAGATTTGCGGATGTTGAATGAAATTATGCAAACCCCTGAGATTTTCAATAAATGACATTTAAACCTGTTTGCGTTCTTCATCTTACAAGAAAGTAAGCTGCAAAAGATCAAATGTGCTAAGCCAAAAAACTTAAGCTTTTCTAAAAGGAACCTAGCTTTTCATAATGCAGCTTTTGCATTTCTTAGTCACAGAATGCCTTGGATGGAGAGGGACTTTGAAGACCCTCTAGTTCCAAGCCCCTGCCATGAGCAGGGCTGCCACCCAGCAGATCAGACTGTCCAGGGCCTCAGGCCCTGTTCTACCCTGAATGCCTGCAGGGATGAGGTATCCACAGCCTCTCCAGGTTCAAATCTCCAGGTTCTCTTGTTCAAATAGCCAAAAAGACAGAGGGGACCATAAGGGCTGAAGAGCCCCACTTGTTCAGAGGAAATGTTTTATGTAGCTCAGTCTCCTGTCTCAAAAACAGAAGGTGCTGTTATACAGCACATGCAAGCCTAGCATGTTTGTCATCTGATACACCTAGATTCCATTTTAGACTAGTCTACTAGCTTCAATTTGTGTGCTGTAAGACTGGATCAGTAACAGTTGTGTATCCATTTTATCCACAACCTTCATGATTTTTGTTTTTTTTTTTTTTTTTAAAAACTTTCAGTAACTCATTTTTCTCCAGGCCAGTTAGGTATTTTTCTTTTAGTTTCCCTTAAACTAAACTCTTGCTCTAACCCATAAATAATTTTACTTCTCTTTGTACTGATCCGCAGCTGCTGTCCTTCAAAGATGAGGTGGCCACAACTTGAAAAAATACTCCAGATCACAGTCTTGCATAGCTGAAAACGAATATTCTTGACTAGCATTTAGAATTAGCAGTGTCCTTCCTTTTCCTCATTTACTTCTTGAGTAAGTACAGGCAGCAGGCAGTTGATTTAATCAGCTGTTGGAATCAATCATCATGCTGTTTTACAGGTCATTTTAACCTTCGTACTGATGAATAAAGGCACTGTTCAAATTCTTTTCTTCATCAGCATAACCCAAAATCAACTTCATCAGTGCAAATACCAGATCAAAATTTGACACAAACCTCTAATCTTAGCAACAGAAACATTTAGTTTTGAAGTTACTAAAGGCACGTTATATATGTCTTAATTTTTTAAGTTTGTTCCTTGATAAATAATTGTACCCATATTGCTCCTGCAGATACACCCAGAACTGAATGGCTTCCACTTACACAGGCAGTGAGACCTTCAGCACCTATTAGCAGCTGCCGTAATTAAGAAAAACCAAAATGCAACTAAATGCTTGAGACAGATGAAGAATTTACTGTTCACTTAATTACTATGAAACAAGAAATTTTGACAGTGTTTTTAAAAAATAATGCTAGGTAAGCCATAAAGATTACAGTTGTAGATGGTCTTCCGAAAAAGATGACAAAAATAGTCTTGGTTAAAAATCAGATTTCCAGTTTAAAAAAAAAAACCTTACATTTACATTTGAGAAAAGTCACAGTGGCTTAAATTAAGTAATCAATGAACCAGATTTTAAAAATTGATGAGGCAAACTGCAGCAATTTGCTGGTAGAAAGCACTTAAAAGTGGGCTAGCCAAGTTAAGTAGTGTTACCAATGCAAAATGACCACGGTACGTTAAGGAAGTTAAAAAGCTTTGAAACCTTACTGTCGTGATTTTGCAGCTCTTAAGATTGCAGAACAACACAGCTGTTTCTTCTAGTTTGAAATACTAGAGTTAATAACAAACACACACAAAAATGATGCTTCAATCATTATTCACTTGTGCTATCGCTCCTGAAAGCATTCATCCCAGCAACTTCCCTTCCACACAGACACAAGACTGGGAAGATGAAGCACACTGAGGTGCCAGTGGGCACATCTCTGCTACTCTGGGGCATGTGAGCATATACAACAGCCAGGCTCATTACCACAAACAAAAAACAAAAAACAGGGAAAGGTAAAAACTGAATTGATATTTATTTTTTTAAACAATCCTTCAACGGCTTTTTAATAAGTATTTCATAGCCCACTTAAAGACTTCATTAATAATAATAAATTTTCATTTTAATTAAATACAAACTAAGTTCTCACGTTTCTAGGACTTGGGTATTCAAACACATGTATGTATGTATGTGCATACAATGCACATAGATGCAAAGCAAAGTATGTTGATATGAACAAAAATCAGAACAACTTTATCTCACGGTATATGGATATCACTGTGGAAATCTGGGGAAAAAAAACCTCACCAACCAACTAAAAACAACAGAGATGAGCTAGCTTTCAGTTCTGCATTTCTAAATGTCATGGCCAAATCACTATTATGCCCCAAATGAAAGACCAAAGTTTCAATGTATGTCAAGAACAATCCCAAAACAACAGCAGAAATGGAAATATGTAACAGGAACTAAAAAAAAAAACAAAAACAAAAACAACTCTACACCCAACACATTCATGACAGGATAAAAACCATAGAAGTTCAAGTGAAATGACAGTACAAAATCCTACTTCATAACTGCTGAAAGGTGGAGGTACCAAAAAACAATGAATTCCAACTTCATTCACTTACGCACAGCTTCTGTTTCTACTCATCTTTTTGTCTAATTGCCCTGTACTGTCTTTTTCAAAAGATGGTCATTCCCCTTTCAACTTTCTTCAGCAACTTTGAAGGATTCTGTCCCCTTTTCTTCTTATAGTTACCTACAGGTGATTAATCCAATTTCCAAAACAATTCTCCTGTGAACTTTGGGTTGAACATTTTTCCTCACTCATTCCCATTTTTTTCTGTCCTAACTAGGATCTGAACAGACCTGACACCTCCACAAATGTACTTAGGCATAAGGTTCCACATTGACTAAATGCAAAATTCTACACTAAACCCTTTTCTCCATTTCTAGAAAACGTTTTCTGCCATCATATCTTTAACTGCAAAGTTACTTCTCATTCAGGTAGATATCTGGGAACTAGAGAAGTGACACAGTTTAAAGCCTGAAAATGTTACCTGCATAATATTTGCAAGGTCCATCCTTGTCCCTCAGTGCACAGAATGGATGCTCTTGTCCAGTTCATTCTTATCATTGTGTTCTGACTACTGCTCCATCTCCAGCCTTGGTATGTTCCATCTGAAGACATCAATTTCCTTTTAAAATACAACACTAAAGATCACTTCAGTAAGATGTTACAAAAGCTTGGAACTTTTCTATTGATCTACTTATCTTTCCTCCTGCTTGCAAAACAATAAGCTGCTTTTCTTCACCTTCAATATTTCATTTGGGTTTCTCGTATTAAAACAAAATATTAACTGACTTATCACACTGAAAGACCTTTCAAAATTCCTTAGTAAACTCATACAAAATGCCTGCTATAAACAGAAAAGCACAGAAAATTCCTCTTCATGGCAAAGACAAGAAAATGCCTTTTCAATTTTCTTTTCCGAACAAGGATTTGACAAATAGTTTGCTATGATGTTTATTTCAGTTTGGACCAGCAATATGTCATTATTTCTTTGTTTTCTTGTTTATCTGATGCCTACATTTTTAGGGTGGCCTCAAAACAGAGTTCTCCTATCTAAATATTACAGTAATACAAATAATATAAAGTGGAAAAAATATCATATTTGGTACACAAGGGAAAGGTTCTAAATCAGTGACTGCAACAAAGCTGAGTTACATATATTTACACACATGCATACATAAAATGATCAAGTTAAACTAAAAGAAAATTATTACATACAGCAACATTTGTATTTTTCCACTCCATTATCACCATACAATAAGATTCACACAAAATGAGAGAAAGCCATTTGTATTATTCTAGTAATAGCTTCAGCAGCACCACTGCAGCATTTTCCAGTTCGTGACACCTTGCAACAAAGCATCTCTCAAGTGCAGCTGGAAGACCAGTTAGTATCTATGCGCACAGCAAGAATTTCTAGGAGAGCAACAGGCAAGCCAGAGCAGAGGAACCATGGACAGGAGGAAATCACAAGTATGTATTGCACGAGAATACAGACTCAAAATTCATTCTTCTCTCTTTCAAAAAAAAAAAAAAAAAAAAAAAAAAAAAAAAAAAAAAAAATCCCACACATTTAAAGTTGGACTTTAATTCTACGAAAAAAGCAATTCCAAAATTACAAACTGAACATCAGAGTCAATTCAACCATAATAATAAAATGAAACAATGACATTCACAATATTAAGCCTATGGACAGTTTGACAAATATTCCCCTCCCCACACCCCCAGCTAAAGTCCCCAAGTACATTCCAATATTTATCTTCAAATGCTGAAGCTTTACTGAAAATACTGCTGGTGTTCAGTTAGAATTAAAGGACTTGAATAAAGTGAAATAGACAAATATAGATGGTGTGAGTAAGGTTACAAAGGCTTTACATTTTGCATTATCCCAATGTATAAACATTCAAAAAATTAACATGAAGATGTCGTGTTATCAAAATATTGCAGCTACAAGCAAGGCAACATTAAATTAATAGCTGAGGGTATGAGGGAAAAAAAAAACATTTCAGTGAAAATAAACTGAGGCGGCAGCTTTTAGTTAGCAATTTTATAAAGCTAGTATTACCCAGCCAGTCATAAACCAAGCACAGGATTAAAAGCTTCCCTTGGCTGTAAGGTGACAAAAAAAAAATAAAAAATCATCCTGTCAAGGAGAGCAGAAAAAAAAAAAGGAGTCAAATAAGTAACGGGATAAGAAAATACTAACTCAGGTAGTAAACTTTAAGCCACTCCGTCATTTACGTTATTTAATTTTATTTTGGTGGTCAACTGTAATCTTAAGAGAAGAAAGCTTATGCTGTACACTGAATAACCACTAGCGTAAAAGTATTTTTCCTCCATCCACTCTTTGGCTATCCTCCCTCAAAAGTTATCAGAAAGAACACGTAATACTGGCAGGAGACATTTTTGATTAAAAAAAAATCAAAATGAACATATCAGCTTAGAAGTTGGTACATTTTATAAAAACAAAAGAGGTAATATTGTATTAAAATGAGTAATGTTACTTCAAATGGCAACATATTTTTTGTTGACCCTGTGCAATAATACTTTGCTCATACTACCTTTATCAAAATATGACTGTTTCTACACATACGTAGGAATCTTGTGCAACTCCCATCAACTCAGTTTATAACTGGGACACAATTTACAATCAGTGTGCCAAAATAGCTTTAAAATTGTTATTTCTAGTCGTTAATGTTCTAATCCTGCGCTTTTTTTTTTTAAACTGTTAAGTCACATGAAAAGAAAGGAATATATTACCCCAAGGCATATGAACATCAATGACTGCACACACTGCCAGAACACAATGCACTGGTTTGACATTTTCCTTAGTACACAGAAACCAACAGCACCCAATAAGCCTGAGAAGAAATGCTGCTGTGTAAATACTGGCAACTATTCCTGAAAAAAGAATTATGGGATGCATACTCAGAAGCTGTCCAATCCCATAATTTGTATTGCATAGGTCACAATCACACATATATATACACACACACGTATGTGTGTGCATATATACATATGTATATACACAAACACATGCGCACACACACAGAATATATTAAGAAGACAATGAAGTCTGGTCACAGAGCAATTTACAGGCTCAATATATTTTTCCTTTTTTTTTTTTTTTTTTTTTTTTTACACTTTGTTTGAAAGAAAACTTCAGTATTTTACAGTCTTCAGTAGGCATTATATACACTGCACTTATGAAATCTAGAAAGTATTGAAATAGAAATACATTTCTGCAAACATTTGGGTAAGAAAACAAACCAAAAAAATTTCAAAGATTTGTGCTATCTACATAATATTTCTCTAAATCACAATAACTGTATCCATGGAATGTTCTCTAGAAAACGTCTTTTTTTTAAAACACCATGCACATTTTTAAGCAATTGTAACCCAAAATATCCCAACCTAAAACAATCTAACAGTGTTCAGATTAAAAAATTTAAGTTTCAGATCAGATTTTAAAAAGATAAGTCTTTTATCACAAGAGCTGTAATGATAACAATTACATGTTAAGGCTAAATTGGTTTTGTTTTGTTTTTAGAAACATTTAAAGACACACTTCTCTCATGGCTCTGCATTATGAGCTGTACTTACAGATGACAGTGCAGTGAACATAATATTCAGTCCTACAGTCAGGATGCAGTTGCTCCTTCCCATTCCACAAGATACTGCACCTTTCCATCAAGTGTCACCCGACGAGCCAAAACACGGTACTTTTCACCACAAGCTATTCTACCTGCTGCACCAAAATAACTAGTAATAGAGTTCTTTAGATGATTGAGCTGTAACTCCTGATCTGCTAAATTGTTAAGTATCTCCGTATTGAGTTCATCATACTGGTAATCTTCCTTGCTCTCGTCATCTTTTACAATTTCTGAATTTTGAGTCTGGAGTGCTTTTCGTGGAAAGCGACCTCTTCTTCTCAAATGTGGTATTGCAGCAGGCCAAGTTCTTCCTGTACGAGTCCTTTTTCTTGAATCAGATAAACTACTAAAAAAATAAACACAAGCATTAACTCCAGGAAACATTTACTCAAAACGTACAGAAATGGTAAAACATAAAACTCAATTCATAACTGTTGTTCTAGTTTTCAGTTTCAATACTTGTTACCTGTATATAGATGATTAATATGACACTTGCAAAAGAGACTTACATAATAGAAGTTGCACAAGTTAATCCATATCAGAAAATTTGGTTAAATGACATTAGCTTATGCCTAAGTATCTCTAGAGTACTGTTTCGACTCAGACGAATTCCAATCTTCTGCAAACTTCAAAAATTTTTTTCAATAATTCTGCCCCAGAAGTGCCTCGAATAGTAAATTAAAAATACAGCCTTATCACATCAGTAAGCCCCTATTACAAAAAAAAGCCGAACTGTAAAAGTTTGGAATCTTATGTTGGTGAAGACTATAATTAAAAAGGACTATCTGAAGAAGTTGCTTTTTGTTTTTTGTTGTTGTTGTTTTGTTTTTTAATGCAAAGGATCACCACCCCTTTGCATAAAGGTGAATTATAATTATTTATGAAGACTGAGTCAAACTTTTAGACTGTAAAATCTACAGCATACTCACTATTCCTTAAAATGAATATACAAACCTTCCAAAACTAAAGTTGCCAAAATTAACATAGGGTACACATCTGCTCTCCTGTGACCTTTGTTAGAAAGGTAAACTCAGGAAGTGTTTAAGGAGTTTACCTGTCTCCTGTTAAAATTAATTTAAGTGTGCATTTTACATTAACAATGAACAATAATTAGCACCCGTGCTGTGAAGAAATTATTTTCTTCTGTTCTATTTCATTAGATTCCCGATCAATTTACAGCTCTACTTCACATCTCAGTAGCTCGCTATAACAATTACCAGCAAAATCCCATATTCTCAGATATTCCATATCCTCTGCAACATCTTAAATGCTTGTCCATTCTCCTTCAAATTCTGGAATACTCCTATCTGTTTCATATCTACTATAGTCGCCTCACAACTTGCATCAGTCTCCTTATCTTCTATCTTTGCTTTGCCAAAGCTTCAATCAAAAACAAAAACAAATTAAAAAACCCCATCACACATCACTGGCAGTGACTAGACTGCAGATGACTGCAAAATTGCCTTTTTGTTTTGTCTTTTTCTTCTCTTAAAGAGCTGCTGCTTTGAGTCTCTCTCAGAATCTTCTTAAAGCTTGTTGAAATACAATCTCTCTGGAAGTACCTGGCTCAAATTTAGCTGAAGTTTGCTGAAAGGCTCCAAACTCACTTGTATTAGCTTAATACAACCTCAGGTTTTTAGAAACTAGGCATAAAACATTAGAAGTAATTCTTTGGCAAGATAATTCCCATACGATTTCTGTAACTTCTGTTTATTGCAGGTAAAGTACTGCTGAACTACTGCTTTGTGTCTCCCCCCTTCAAAAATCTTGTGAAAATTAACATATTAAACCCTTAATCAATATAGTAGATAAAGTAATTCAACTGTTACCTATAATGTCTGGATATGCTAGATGAGGTAGTTTCTTTTATACTGGCAGCACCTGTGGATTCCACATCTGAGGTATTGGACGAATGTGCAGTTCCATCGGATTTCCTGATATGTAAGATAACAGGGTTGCCATGTAATGAAAGTAATCTTATAGTAAAAATTGAGTTGACATTTCAGAAGCAAACAAATAAAGTGACATGCTATATTAAAATAGCTTAAGTTTTTTTTTGTTTGTTTTTAATTTACCCAACAGAGCAGGGTAATTCCAATGCTGGGGTCTCTATCACTGGAACTGGTTCAGTATCCTAAGAAAAAAGGAAGAGTACTTCAGATTAAGTTTTAATTGTTTATTCAGCTTGGTTTGAGGGCAAATGGGGAGAGGAATATCACAATTTAGATTAACTGATTATATTTTTCTTCAAAAATGATAATCCAGTTAGAGAAAATAAAAGAAACATATCCAAAACCTTACCAGAGGAGACGACTCTGGAGTTTTGTGAATCATTTTTCTTGTATAGGGACCAGGTGGACGACCTACTGATTTTTTTTTCCCCTTTCTTTCTATACCATTACTTAATTCCCTAGAAGAAAATTTATATTTTTTTCTTATTGAAGAAAATTATTGAAGATAATTTTCAAAGAATAAATGCTTTCCTTTGGCAATGAATACACATTGTGCTAAACGAGATCCTGGCAAATCGAAGCTGTCATGTAAAAGCTAAATAATTTGCCTGTATAATATCACACAGATAAAGTTGTTTCTAGTGACATTACCGATTCCTTAACGTTGAAGAGGAATGAACAAGCGTTGGTTAAAGAAACAGCACATCTACTGCAAGCTAGAACTGCATATCATATTTCCTATTTAGAAACCTAGTTAACAGCATTGCATAAAAGCTCCGGAAAGGAATTTTTTTTTTTCCCCCCCAGTGGCAGTGAAGTTCAGATAGCCTGTATTGTTCTTACTGCCAAATGTCACGATGCTTGTTATGGTTTGTGTTTTGTTTTTCAAAAGGCTCATAATAGGAAACTAATAAACTTGAAGACTCTGCTCTCATAATCACCTTTAAAGAGAACATGCAACTACATCAGTTTACAACTTTAAAGTATCTTTAAAACATACAAACAGTCCACCTTTACAGTTATTTAGAAATGGACATTATACAATGAGCAGGACTTCTTTTGTAGGCACTGAAGTACTTGAAGTAGTTCCTATTTACCACAACATTTCTAAAAAATCATGGGATTATTTTACCTCACATCAGGGATTGGTTTGGATGATTTTCTGCCTTTAATTTTGAACTCATGAGAAGTTCCTTCTGGTTCTTTCTCAGCCTTTAAAGCAGCATTTGGTGGCACAGGAGGAACACGAATTCTCAAGCCAAACAAATGCTTCTTTTTCTTTATTTCTTTTCCAGACATAAACCTAGATGATTTTAAATACACTGTTAGCATTCTGAAACCAGGGAAAGCAGCTTTTAAAATAAAATGTTCATGCAAAACAAATCTATGCAAATTACAATACTCATCCTAATGCTATTTTATTCACCTTTTCCCGCTAACACAATCCTCAATCTGAAATACAGAATGAGAACTGGGAAGAGGATGGAAATTAAAACAATTTTTCTCATGATCTGGGATCCACTCAAATAGGTATGGGGTGTTATACTCTGAAACAGAAACAGTATTCAAAACGTCAACGTTAACACAGCCACAGTGATTATCAGATAAACTGAGCAAAGGAGACAGACAACTACAAATAACAAATCTGAAAGTATTTAGAATAAAAATACCAAAAACTTACATGGTCTTGTAATCATTTAATGCCTCCAGTACATGCTCATATCTTTCAGATTTTGGTGTATCTGCCAGCTGTGGAGAATTAAGAAATTCAGCCAGTCTACGTCTTCAGTAATAGAAAGCTTCCAGTTACTGAGTCATTAAAACTATCAATTTGGGTGTGAAGTACATTTAAAAAAAAACATTACCTGTAGAAACTACCTAACCCTTAAAAGGTGTTAGTCCTTTAGTCTTTTTTTTTTTTTTTTTTTTTTTTAAATCCCCATATGTTCTGTGATTCACATTCACAGAATTTACATTAGGCACAAGCCCTGGTCAAAGAATCTAGTTTTCTGTTTAAGTAGTATAAGAAAAATAATTTCAAACTGTTTTAGTATAGAAGAAGGATACTAGTCTGCCTTCCTAGGATCACTAACATGAGTACCTCAGTAGCATTAAGTACACCCAAAGTAAGAGACTGCAAGAAGAGTACAAGAACTTCAGTTATTTTATTGGAGATTGCTTTAATGAAATCTTGCTCAAAGGCTTAATTCCCATTTCTGTCTGCATTGATAACTTTCAAGAGGTGGACACAACATTTATATATTAGAATTTAGAGTATTTTTAAATATGGTAGTGTAGCTACCACATTTTCAGTTGCTATGCAAAAATGCTCCAGAATTTATACCTAGTTGGATCTGCAGTCAACTGGTCTTTAATTATAAAGCTGGCCAACAGCTCACAAAGCACGAATACTAGTAAGGATACTACAGAGCAAACTGTACAACTGCAGATCAAGAAAAAGCCCTCAGATACTTGTAAATAATACAATTCTCATTAAAAAAGAAAGCTAACACGTTTAACAACTTCTAAAATCTCAATACATACTCAAAAAAAAGCCCAGCTTTTAACATTGCAAGATTCAGTAAAACCACTTGATTGCCAAAGTCAAGAGAAATCTGACCAACTTTTGCAAAGTAACAGCTGTTTTAAGGTATTTTTTCATATATTTTCACACAATCCATTACTATCCACAAGTTTTGCAATTCTTCAGCACATAGCTACAGAAAACTACAATATTTAACCGCATCACAAATGGTAACATAATTAGAATATATGGGCTTAAGAACTCTAATAATTCCACCATTTACTCCTATCTTACTAATTCAATTCTACCAATACTTATTCAATTCTAACCATCTAGAGGAAGATGTACTGTGCCTCATAGCAGCAAGTGAAGAGTATTACCAGAAAACTCAAACTATTAGTACTGTATGTTATTCTGTGACTAGTTTCTGTTCAAAGACGACAGATTATCAGAAAAGGTAAAATATACTTGCCTTTATTTTTTTTAAGACACAACTTTCCCCAGTGTCATGAGAGACATTTAGAAACTTATCAAAATAAACAACCTTGAACATTTCCTCAACACAGCATTTATTTGCTTACTCAAAATACAGCCCTTCAAAAAAAAACCCAAAAAACCAAAAACCAAGTAGCCTGATTGGAAAAAAAAAAAAAAGCAGTTTCTTTGAGGTACAGAAATATTGCTTAAGGAATTCCAAGTACCACGTAAGCATGCGTGCTTTCTCATTTTGGCTTTTTCTCTCTTCCCACCTACTTATTTGTGGGTTTTCCCACGTAGACCACTCATGATCTGAACATACGTATTGTATTTTTCATTATTTATCAGAAGTAATAGTGCGTGTCAATCATCTAAACCAAGAACACATTTCATTCTCATGTTGTATCTGCTAAAATGAATGGATTAATTTACTGAATACATTAGGAGAAGTTGCAACTATTTAAATACTACCTACGTTTAAAAGTTTCAAAACTTGAACATTCACACAAGAGAGAAGCACACACACCACTTGCAGTACATCAATGTCACTTCAACTAAAATTTTTGCATTCAAACTTAAATGCAGAACCAAAAGACTACCTACATCATTCCTCTACATTAAACATGAAGTCAATTTGCTTGGGGAAATGGATTTCCTACATATTTTCCTGATAGCAGCCCAAGTGGCTGGAAAAAAGTCAAAATCCTCAAGACTAACAGACAAACTGTTCACACTCATGCTTGGAACAGGGAGCAAAGAGGAAATGTTTGTGTACAGTGATTTGTTACGTATTACACCTTAGAAACCTTGGTATTTTCATACTCAATACACTCTGCATTCAGTTATACGCATAGGTTTACTAGTCTGCATCCATGAAAATATTCAAGCAACAATCAGACAGTTAAAAAAAAAAACAGAATACATACGCTACAGAATCAATAGTTGAGTTAAATAATAAAGTTGCCATGGAAACAATACAATGAAGTTTTACAGCTCAGAAAAATATACACAACTTAAATATTTTAATTCTGCAAGGAAATTGAAGATGATCTCCTTATCATTTGGAGTTATCAGGTGTTAAGGTAATAAATTTAATATCCTAGATAAAACAATTCATAGGTCCCTGACACATGCATAGTGAAAGGTGAGGAAGAAAGAACATTGCAACTACTTACCTCACCAGGATGTAATCTATCCCAGTTCTCATTTATGTATGCCATGAGTTCAAGCTCTGAATCAAAGTATTTCTTCTTATGAATAACACTTAGGTTGTAAAGGCATAGATGTGCTATATCTACCCTAGAATTCAGAAATATATAGAATCACCAAAAAAATCCCCAATTGCTTTTCTTTGACATAATTTTTTTTTTTTTTAAGATAGCGTAATGTAGTTAGACAAATAAAGCACAACATAAAACACTCAACTCAGGAAACATTATGTTATCTCCTATCATTTCTCTACCTAATGTGGCTGCTGCTGCTTTGTATCGTACATGCATGTCTGTCTCACCTCACGTCTCATTATGCTCCTTTAAAATCCAAAACAATTCTGAATTCATGTAAGTATCCTGGTGAACTAAAATTTAGCAAGGTAATTTTTACCTTACATTTGTGAGCACATATGTCCCAGTTGGTAGTATTTTTAATACAAGCTGCAGTTGATGTACTTCAAACTACAACATGGAATTTCATCAAGTAAACCACTATAAAGCATGTTGAACTGTTTACTCTTATATTTAACACATTTCACTTAATTTAACAGTGAGACAAAGCCTGAATAAAGGAATTCTGCTTAGGTATCTCAATCTTTAAATAGACAACAAAGTACTTAGGCACAACTTTACTGAACAATTCTAGGAATAAATCCCAAGAGAACTCAAGTGCAAATACACGTGCATTTATGAATAAACACTGAAAGAAAAACTGCCCCTGTTTATACAAGAACTCAGGAAATGACAAAAGACAGCATGTGAATTTTCTTTTTAACAAGATGAATCAAAATACTAACCAGAAAAGCAGCACACATATTCAATTATTTATTTTAATTGCACTTACCATCTCAAGGGTAAACGTTTGAGGTATTCTGGTCCAGAACTGCAAACTGAGCAAATGAATGTATAAAACCTAAAAAAAAAATTAAAAAAAATACACGTATGTATGTGTGACTAGGCGGTGGGTGTCCATACACACACACACGATGTTTTAACATGCTACTTATTACAAACTGTCACCTCATAATTCCAGAAAGGACTCTTCGTGGGTTTTTTTTTCAAGGATGTATTGGGGAAAAATGAAAAATCAAGTAGGCCAGAAACCCAGCCACGTGACATTTGAGTCCCTTCACCTGCTATCAATTTCCTGTGTACTGTCTTATATCTGACCCAGTAGTGATCTCTACTTCATAAATTTTACATTCCACATCTTCCTTCTTTTCTTCCCTGACTGGTGACTGTGCTCCCCAGTGTCCCTATTCCTTTCATTCAAATGTAGAAGCCTAAGCAAGTATGTATCTAAAAGGAGAACTTTCTAGATCTTAATTTCTTTATACAAACATTCAGCACAACAAAGGGTGAAACAAAACCACAACAGATCACAAATTATACGCTCGATTCCTTAATCCAGTTTTCTCTCTCCAAGCTCTTCCTAAAACAAAAGCACAGACCAATGCCCTTTCTCATTTCCTTTTTGCTCCATTTGTCACACATGAACACAGAATATACGGAGTTGTCATCTGACTATCCCTCCTGATTCTCCAGTTCCCTCTACTAGCAGTTCCAAGTGAGCAGGAAAACAATTAGTGGGACCTAGATGAGTTAGATGGAAACAGAAGCACTGATGAATTATAAGCAATGGAACAAGCAGGAAAACATTTTATCTACCACATTCCACTAATGGCACATTTTCATACAGTTGCTAGATCTTCTCTTCTGCACATACATACCAACAACCTACTTCAAAGTTCACTCAAGAAGTGCCGTTACTAATGTACCACATGGTGAGATCTAGAAAACCCTTATCTATATTATAAGCTCACTATGGTGTTCTGCTTTAACACTTCTGATCCCCCAGCAGCCTATGGCATAACAAACCTCCACAAACAGTTGAGTCAATAACAATAAGTTTGAAATCAGATATCCATTGATTACCTTACCCTAATTTTCTTTTTCTCTTTTTTTCAACAACAAAAAGCACCTCCCTGGTACTTGAACACATTTTGTTTTCTGTAATTTTCTACGTTAAACTCACCACAATGTTTTTGAAAAACACTTGAGGACTACACTTTATTAAAAAGCATATTGAAAAGTAGTATGAGACACTTCTTCCTAATTAAAATGAAAACTACAATAAAGTACAGCACAAGTGTTCTTACCTGTCACCAAAAAGCATTGGCTTTTGGAGGCACTGCACACAAGCCTCGTGGAACCACTGCTTACATTTGCAGCACTGCAACATCTTTAGATACCAGCTTCACCAACAAAAAGAAAAACAAGATGCATTATAAGTTACTCAAAATGGCTCTTCATTACACTTAGATTAAACAGCAAGGGATCTTCTGACACAAAGTAATTTTCAATGTTATCTGAAAGAACATTTCAGCAACATTTAGTTCTACAGTGAACAATTACTAGTAAAGAACAAGTAGGAATAAATTAAGTAGAAATTTTAATACTTTGCTTTTGTCTACAACTCTGACTTGCCCTGACTTCAAACCCTCAGTGCTACTTTACTCGTCCACTCACTCATGCAGATACCAGAGTATTCAAGCTCCACCTATTTGGGTGTCCTTTTTCCTCACATTACTCTCAAGAAAGAGAAACTTTTCTCCCCCACCCTCATAATAATTACAGTATAAGGCATAATGTTGCAGAACAGACAGGATTCTATGTAACACTATCCTTAATATTAAACCTGACTCAAACACAAGGGAACAACTCAACATAATTTTATTCAAATGAACAAACAGTGAAGTACCTGTGCAAATCTAAATGATAACACAGCAACAAAATATTCCCATTTCTTTTTCAGAGTGTCACTGTTTATATCCATAGAAACTTAAATTAACAGGTTATGTTTTATAAGCATGCCTTCCTAAAAACATTCAAAGAACTTCAGAAGTGCTTGTCTTCAGGATCAGAACCGAGGTTTGCAGGTGCCTTACGGAGAAAAGTTGACACAGATCATCTATTTACTTACTCTCCAGGTCCTCCACAATAGCAGTAACACTGCTGGACATTGGTTTTATGACCCGCATCCCACTCAAGGTCTGTTGCATTATACGGTAGAGTCTGTTTCATGACTTGCAGTGCTTTGGCATTTGGTCCTTTCTTAAGCGCACCACCTCTCTGTTTGAAATAAATACATTGGTTTACAAAAGTAACAACACATTCCTTAAACTTTCAAATACTTTAATTTTACAGTTACCAAAATTTGTCTATAATCCAACTAAATGCTCTCATACATACTTATGCTTTAGTATACCAGCATATTTACTTAAAAGCTAATTCAAAGACAAATGTCAACTATTTCTAAAATTAATATTTATCTCCAAAATACACAACTTTCCCATTCTCATCAGATTAAGAAGAGGAATTTCTGATTTCAAACTGAAACAATTATGTAAGTAATATGTATCAGGTGCTACTTCCAGTAACACACCTTCGTTGTTGTCGCAAAAACACACTGTCGACAGAGCCATTTATCATCTGAATCTATCACGCTGGAATCAATATTTGGTGTGTGACACAGCTGATGATAACCTGTATTAGAAATAATTAACCAAGGTGTCATAACAATGGCAAAAGAAAACCTTAAGGAAAAGTAACTATATATAATTTTAATGCAACTACAATGCATTATCCTTGACCAAGCACCAAACACCTGATCAAAAAGATTAGTAACAAAATGATCTTTTAAATCATCTTTGTAAAACAAGTAACTTTACATAAGGAATATATGATAGTCACATAGACTATCATTATTCACTGACCTATTAATAGCCTCTAAGAGCTATGAAATTTAAGATCAGCTTAGCAGTCAGTGGTAGCCGTGTCAACATCTTCCTTCAGAAAACAAATTAAAAGTCTTTTAAAATGCAGGAAATAGGAAAAAATCTAGTTACCTTGCCCACATTTATCACAGATAACCATTTCATTCGGTGCTTCTGAATACTCCTCCTGACATATTGTACAGACCATTTCCCCACTTTCAGTGGCTCCTAGAAAAAGACAGAAGTGTGTTTTCTTTTGTCGTTGTCATTTCCAGACTACAGCTGCAGTCAGATCCATTACCATGCATATGATTTTTGTTTTTAAAAATGAGTTACAGAACCACGCGTTGCAGATAGAGATTTTTACAGAGCTAACGCTCAATCAAAAAATTAACTCAGACACTTTGAATGGACTTCATATGTTGTAAGCATTTATATCATTTATGACAGGTCACCAGATTCATATAGGTTAGATGTTGTCTATTTACTATACTTTCATGGTTCCTTAACAACAATAAAAATTAAGTAACTGTGAATAAGGAACGCAAGTGTAGACTAAAAAATTTGCATCAACAAATCCTATCTGGACAAATGATAGACATGTCTGGCATTGCAGCAGCAGCTTCTTCTTTTTCAATACATAATATACACAACTTCATGCATACTTTTTTGATAGGTTTGCCCAAACACACAAAGAAAAAAAATGACTGGAAAGGAAAGCTAGTTTTGCTTCAGTGACACCACATATCAGTATAACAGTCTAAATTAAAACAAGTTATTTAGTCTACGTGCTATCATACTCGTGCACTAATGTTCAGCTTACCATAAATGTATTAGTGACCATTAGTGCCATAGAACAAGAGAACAAACAGCAATACTTTAGAAGGTTCTCAGAAATGAAGCATTTGTTTTTTTTTCTTATTATGAATGCAAAGCTTTTCTCATTAAAAGTCAGAATGTCTGTTTAAACATCAAGAATCAGAAGGAACTTCCATTACTTCCATTACTTTTATCTGACAAGCAAGTTTTCACTGATTTTCAGATCAAACCATCACTGAAATTGTCATTACAATAATCTAATGCTAACAAAATGTTTATAATTGCTACTCCTCCAAACATCCAAAAAACCGAAGTTAATAGAAAACAGACATCTCACTTGATATTTGAGCATTTCTTTAGAGTACATGAATACCCCCAAATCTGTAATGATTTCTGTTACAGTTATGGTGTTACTTTTAAATATGATAACTCCATTTAAATTCAGCATTTTCAAATCCTTGCTTTCTTTCTGTACTAAGCTGTTTCAATTGAAAACAGAACAAATTCAATGCAAATGAGGTTCTGTGAGTTTTCTGTTGAGACAACATTACACTCCACTACCATCAAAATAAACAAATGCAATTATTTTTTAGAAGGGTTCTCCACTACACAGTTACACAAAGTAAGAGTTTTTGAAAAGAAATTGTTTATTAATTTGCCTAATGCATTATCTTGCATCACCTTAAACTACATCGCTCTTCTAGAAAAATGAATACAATGCAACAATTTATTTTAACAGATATAGTAATCTAAACAGATAAAATACCAAACAACGACTACTTCACTGAAGTTCTTGCCTGTTTGTATGTCCTTCCAGAGAACCCAAGACTTGGAACTGTCCTCAAATATAATGAAGCAGTTCTGTTTCAGTTTGTTTATCTGGAAAACATGAAAACAATGGAATCCATGAGTAGAAGGTCTAAGTAAAAGAACGTATTTAATCTTAACTAAGTGGAACAATAATGTGGTCTTACTTAACCAACGTACCATACTACAGGACTGCAGTGAAGTTGAACAAATGTTTACCTTTTTGATAGTTCCAAGATAAAACAAGCCATCTGACCATCTAGCTAGGACATCCTGACCTTCTTCAAATTTACACAGTGGCTTTTTGGCTTTCTGTCCATCACGTAACGACAGTTTGGGTGAGGATGCTGATGCCTTATGACTTCGACGTAAAGGAGACCGCTTATGGACCAGTGAATTACCCACCGCTGTAGAGTCTCTAAAACAAGAGAACCAAGAGAAAAGGTAAAGTAAAAAACAATCAAATAAAAAAGCAGCTATTTTCAATATTAATGATTCACAACTGTAACTCACTTAGCAATCTCCAGAACTTCAGGTAACTAAAAACCTGGTCATGTCTTCAGACTTAAACAGCTTTAGTAATAAGTAGTACCTCTTCAAATATATGCAGAGAGAAAAAGAGACAAGTTTACATCTGAGAGAAATACTCTGTGAAACTAACTAATGTAAACAGAGATGGGGAGACAAGCCTTCCAGCTACCAGTCTCTTCATGAAGTCACCAGAACTCGCCATATACATTTGATACAGGATTACATATGCAAAACATTCACCACTCACGACATTGACAGATCTCTAGAATTCCAAGGAAGTTGAAAGGGTCTCAAGCCAACCCTATTACTTTGGTAATGAAAGCTTCAGTCTACTGTAAAAATAGTGCTCAGCAGTTAGCTACTTGGAATAATATAACAAACATAAACATATATAAGAGGGAAAAAAAACAACATTGCACTACCCAAAGGTCTAGGTTAATTTAAGCACATCCAATTCAGCACCATGCTTTGCTACTAAACATAGCTGTCAAGGTTTCTAGCACAAGAATAATGCCCATGTGCTAGATGTCTAATGTAAACTACAGTTTTGTCCTCTATTAGAATCAGTCAGGGGAAAAAAAAAAAAAAAAAAAAAAAAAAAAAAAAAAAAAAAAAAAAAAAAAAAAAAAAGCATGAGTTCTTTTAATCTTTCTTCAGACGCAAAATTCAAACTGAACAGTACACTCCATGCAAAATATAAAAAAAAAAATACAGTGAATTATAAAATAGGTCCAGAAAAGGCAGGTGGAAGAAACTTCATACTTACTAAGCAGAATCTGAGTTACCAATCCCATATCCAACCATATTTTCTCTTTCAAAACAAAGTGCACCTATCACTATGATAAGGATATAAAAGCAAATGAAGGAGCTAGATGGCATAAAGTCTATTGAAAGACTGAAGTTTCACCTCACTCAGGTTAGCACAGGTATGTTATTATAAACAGCAGTAACAACAGAACTAATCACAGAGCAGCAAGAAAAACTAAATGAACCAGTGTCCCACGTAGTTTGATGAAAATTTATACCCAGACATTAGAGACATTAAAGTTTCAAGGAGACAGGAATCCTTTCTCCGTAAGTTCATTATTTACTTATAATATTCAAATAAAACAGGAATAGTCATTCATTTTTCTTCCACATTTTTAATGGAATTTTATTATGCAAGTTTCCTTGTTTTGTTCAATACTTTAAGCAAAACTTCAGCCTTGTGTCACAACCAGCACCACTTAATTTTATTTGATGCCCGTCATCATTTTCCAGCTTGTCCCTTTATGCCCCAGTAGTAATTTTTAGACCCATCCTGACATATCTGCCAAATAACATCCCATGAATTCTGCCACTTTTCACATGAAAGCTACTTAACATTGGCATTGCTTCTCCCAAGTCCTGTTGCAACTTCTGACAACAGCTGTAGATTCCAAATTCAAATTTACAACAAAAGAGCTGTAGCTAAGCCTGCAGCCCAGATCATTTTTTATTCTCTCCTCTCTCCCAGGAATAACACTTGCAGCCTTTTCCCCCAATGCTGCAATGAGGCATTGAATTAAACATGTCAGAGACTGATTAGAAACTCCAGATTCTCATTCTAACTACAAACAGGCATCCCATAGCAACTTCTTCTCTTCCCACTGTGTACTCTATTCACATCAGATTTCATTTGCCATTTCATAGAAACATTAAGGTTGGAAAAGACCTCTAAGATGATGTCATCCAACCACTAACACTTCACCACCAAGCCCACTAAAACACATCCCTCTATGCCAAATCTACACGTTTTATGAAACCTCCAAGAACAGTGTGCAGTCTGCTCCAGTGCACTACCACTTCCTTCTGAGAAGAATTTTTTCCTAGTGTCCAACCTGGATCTCCTTCATTATCAAGCCCCTTAGAAGCTTGAAGTTCTTGATGTTTGAACAGCTACCTTCTGCACTATTCTGAATCTTATCCTTAGAACATTTTTACATTTTAAATTTACCATGTTCTGTACATCACTGCAAAATTTTGCCCCGTCTTGTATAATGCTTTTAAGTTCCAGAAGAGCCTTTGAAACAGGCCCCAGCCCTCAACACATGAGCAAGCACCTTCCTTTGTCTCTTTTTTTTTTCTGTACAACTGTTTTCATAAAAAAAGCACCAAATAGGCACATAAACAAATACATCTGAAGTCAGCCAGTGAACACAGGAAGGAAAGGTTTTAAATTCCATCAGCTCCTCAAACCTGAGTACACACTCCAGCGAGCATAAAGCAAGAGATGTTCACGATGTTCAAAGGCTGGCAAGTTTTCCTCAAAATGGCCTAGAAACAGCCATGAAACTATACCCTGCTCTCTGTTGGCAATTATTTTCTTGGAAAGGAATCATCATAAGGAAGTATTAAAGTATTTGAATACTTCAGTCTGGACAGGCTGGAGAAGTGGACTCATGAGAACCCAATGAGGTCCAACAAGGCCAATGCAAGGTGCTGCACTTGGGTCGGGGCAATCCCAGATATTTATACAAACTGGGGGAAGATTCCCCTGAGAGCGCCCTGCGGAGAAGGACTTGGGGGTCCTGATAGACGAGAAGCTGGACATGAACCAGCAGCATGTGCTTGCAGGACAGAAGGCCAACTGTGTTTTGGGGCTGCATTAAAAAATGAGTGGCCAGCAGGGAGAGGGAGGTGATTGTCCCCCCTCTACTCGACTTTTGTGAGGCCCCATCTGCATCCAGGCCTGGGGCCCCCAGTACAGGAAAGATGTGGAATCTTGAAGCGGGTCCAGAGGAGGGCCACTAAGATGATCAGAGCTGGAGCATCTCTCCTGTGAGGAAAGGTTGAAGGAACTGGGATTGTTTAGCTTGCAGAAGAGAAGGCTCCAGGGAGATCTCATTGTGGCCTTTCAATACTTGAAAGGAGTGTATAAAGAGAAGGAGGAATGGCTGTTTAGGAGGGTGGATAGTGATAGGACAAGGGGGAACGGTTTTAAACTAAGACAGGAAGAGATTCGTTTAGATATTAGGAGGAAGTTTTTATTCAGAAGGTGGTGAAGCACTGGAACAGGTTTCCCAAGGAGGTTGTGGATGCCCATGCCTATGATTCAAATTACACCTATGAATTTAGCTTATTAAACTGGTCAACAAACTGCAGTGTGCATTTCAAATCATCTAAAGTACGTTGACTAGGCTTGAAACACCTCAGTGAGTGTTTTGACAGACTATTCTCTTCTAGACATCCAAAGATGTTCTTTCCAGCTTTTTTTCAGTTTTATTTATGAAGCTAGAGAAAGCAGCTGGAAAGCTGTCTTGGTGACTTTTTTTTTCCCCAGTACACAAAAAAAGTCTGAAAGATCTTGGGCGAAGTAAAGAGATGCAATCAATTCATTTACTAATATACTATCCAGTACACATTTTCTTATTTTTTTAAATTAAAAATCAATAAGCAAAATATTTTGACTTTTACTTAAGAAAACAACATCATACGCTTTTGAACACTTTTTAAACACAGAAGTTTGAACCTTAACACCAACCAAAGTGTAACAAAAATGCCTTGTGTATTTTTTTCTGGCACAAAGCACTGACACGAGGAGCTCTACAAGGACTTAGAAACTTACTGAAGTATTTTGACTCACACACCATGCAGGTGGGAGGCGGTAAAGCAGGCACTTCTCTACCCCCACACTGAGCGCTTTGGCAAAAGCAGCACTGCTGCACTGATGACAATGGCTCACGAAGCAGTTTCTGCTCCAGCAGCTTCCAGTTTAATATAATGTGTAGACTGAAAATAGAGTTAATTATTGCAGTATGCTGACAATCTCAGCCAGCTCAGCAGCTCCCTTCCATGAGGATCAGGAAACCCTTCTAAGCAAAACACTTCTTCATGCTTTGATAAGAGATGAAGCAGCAAGAAATCCTGTTTTAGCGGGTTGATTTTAATTAACAAACCATTACCAGAAAAATCACACCAACCATTAAAAACAATTTTGGTAGGAAGTTAAATGAAAATAACTGATGTTAATTTCTTGTTTAACAATTTTGAAATTAATCCAAGTGATAAGCATTTTTTAAGGAACTCGCTTCCCAAGTCTTGCCTAATGCCACCTCCACAGTACCTTCCTACCATTTCATTTAGAAAACTATCAATAAATTTAGTAACATTTAACCCACCACCTTAAAATTGCTCTCCCAGCCCTGCTCAAGGCAAAGTGTTAAACAAGTGTCTTTCTGGGAAAAAGAAGAAACACCTGATAGAAAAACCTACCTTGCCTCATGTAACTTGTACAGCTAAGCTACACAGCATGTCACACAAGGCGTCCAACTTAACCACATATAAAGCTTTATGTGCTTTATGCAAGACTGTCTATGTTGTGGCTGTGTTCGCATTTAAGCATTTAAAATACAAAGAAAGTACTTAAGAATCCATGCAATTTTTCAGAAGTTAGTGTGAGGATTCAGTAAAATTTGTCTGCTCGTTGAAATATGTTTCAAAATGGAAATACACTTTCATCATTCCTTAATAAGGTAGTCTCATCAAATACTGACAACACTCACTTATTTTTCTTTCACCTCAGGGCTTAGAGCACAAATACATCCTCAAGCAAGACAACCAGAGGACCTTTTACTCTTTCATCTACTTGATGAATCAAGTTACAGTCACATGCTGCAGTAGGAGGAGACAGCTGTCACTCGGTCAACAGGAATGGCAAATTCCCTCCAGAAGCGAGCTACTAAATCCTGTCTCAGTCTCATTACTGAACCATGAAACTCTACGCACAACATCGTATATAATAAAATCAAAACTAGATTTTTGTGTGAGAATGTCTCAAATATCTCTATTGGAGATTAGCAAGTCTGATTGTTCACATAATATCTCCGACTCCTGTTTCTTCACAAAGTCCTGTAAAAGAAGCAGAGA